GTACGAATCCCGAACGCGAACGAATCCGTTATCGGCCACTGTTAAGGGCGAGCCGCCCCAGAAGCGAGAGTTCTCATTTGTGATAGATGAGCGACTAGGTTTTCCTGATGGGGTTGAAAAAGCCATGATCGTGGCAAATGGTAAGTCGACATTGAAGTGGGTGATTATCGATTAGCTGCTGACCGTGACATTTTCGATAGGGCAATATCCCGGACCAATAATTGAAGTGAATCAAGGTGACGAAGTGATTGTGAATGTTAAAAATAATCTAGCCCAGCCTACTTCTATCCACTGGCAAGGATTATTTCAGTTTGGCACCAACTATTTCGATGGCTTAGCTGGTGTGACAGAATGTGGAATCCCCGGTTGGTACAACTTGAACTTGACCTTTATGAACCAATGGAGCTCTGGGGTATAGTACTAACTGCCTGTCGCCAACTCTAGCCGGTGAGCAGATGTCTTATAGGCTTCAGCCTGGCCCGTTCACAGGGACTACATTTTGGAAGGCAGGATACGGTACCCAAGCAGCAGACGGTCTCACTGGAGGCTTGGTGGTCCATCCCACACACTCGAACACTACCGTGACTTTTGATGAAGAAGTCGTGGTCCACCTGAGCGATTTGTACCATGAGAACTCTAAGGTACTGACCGAAAAATACATCTCGGTGAGCTTCTTATTCATTCAGGAATATGCGGTATCCCTAAGGGTATTTTCTGACAACATGACGCCCGTTTGCAGGCTGAAGGGATAGGCGGGAAAGCTGGCAATGAGCCGGTTCCGGACAGTGGCACAATTAACGGCATTGGTCAATACCCTCATAGACCAAATGGCGAGATCATCTTCCCAGAATACCACAAGCTTCACGTCGAAAAAACTAAAAGGTTTGCCTTATGTCTCTTGCCCGAAGTCATCCTCAAACAAATGAAATTAGTTTGGAAGACGAACTCACTCTGATTATGCTACCGTTGCGCTCTTGTTGCCTCACAGTTACAGACTCAGGTTGATCAACGCAGGCTCAATGGCACCCATCGTATTCAGTGTAGACAACCACAATTTGACAGTCATCGAAGCGGATGGAGTCGAAGTTGAGCCTATCACCTTCATTGGAGGGATACAGGTTGAAGTTGGGCAAAGGTATAGTGTGATTCTACATGCCGAGCATGATCACCACGAACAATATTGGATGCGTGCAGCCCTAGTTGCGGATGGGTTCAAAGTAAATTTTATCCTGAATCAGTATCTTGATAGTAATGGGCCTGACTGAGTTTCTGATCACTCTTTAGTATGATAATCCGGAATCTAACCGCCAAATCCTCGGCATCGTGGCTTATGGAGAGGGACTGGAAGGTGTTCCTCACTCAGAAGCCCACGAAGAGAAGATTGAAATACTAGATCCTACTCGCCTTCGCCCTCTTGTGCCTACAAATCCTCCACCTGCCACTCAGTAAGTCAACCTAGATGGAAGATATTGGCTTCATCTTCCCTCAATCGTTTCTTGCATCCTGCTCAAGCAAGGATCTTGACTAATTGCTTTTTTCCCCTTGATTTGATAGAACCTATATGGTAGATTACTTACTTCGTCAATCCCCCGGTGGAAGCACTGGTAAGGCCTTCGATAGTTCATTTGTAAGCTCTGCTGGCTAACAATTTTGCACATTTCATGTGTGGTCAATTCATTTTCAGTTGGGATGTTTAACTCGACAGTAAGTGGAAACATATTATAGTCCCCATCCCCGTCCTAAGATACCAAAACTAACGGAATATGTTATAGACTTGGGTACCTTTATTTCCTAGTAGCTCTCTGCTGACAAATTTAGGCGACGGCAAAGATGGGCTATCAGTACCTGCACCATACCAGTTTTTACTATCTGCAGACAAGCCAGAGGTGATTGACTTGATCATCAACAATTGGAGCGGAGGTAAGTTTACCCCGAGCGTGATGTTTGTAAGAATAGCGATGTGGTTTAAGCTCTCGTGCATTTTGTTTCACCTTGAATTTTTCAGGGTCCTCCACCTTCTCTTTGAGTGGACATCGGCCTTGGATCATTGGAAGTGGCGAAGGAAATTACCATGGGGACAGGGCTGATGCTGCACCATCCCCTGCAAATATGACCGGTTCCACACCTAATGGCCTGTCCGCGGGTTCCGCGCCCGACAACATCTTGAATGATTCCACCCCCAATGGCCCTCCAACTACTTCCACAACAAATGACTCACATGGCAATTCCATCGCCCCTTCGACACCCTCAACTTCCTCCAATAGCACCATGCCCAATCCACAAGCAAATCAGCCGGGTGTTTCTTCACCTTCCCCCAATTCAAACAATGTTTCCAATCCTGAAAAAGATCGTTCCCAAACGGCTGCTAAAAAACCTGAGTACAAACAAAAAGATGGCACATCATCTGATCACTCCAAATCCTCTACACCACCGTCAAAGAAGCCCTCGGCTACTCGTCCAGCAACGTCATCGCCTCGATACTCAAAATATGGCGCAAATATGCATGAGTTGAATGTCCATGAACCTTACAAAGGCCCAGATCAGGAAAAATGGACAAAGGGGAGAGGTCGGGCATCTAGGGACAAAGCAGGATGGACGACTCACAATAAGAGGGATAAAAACGTTAAAAGCCGAAGGCAATTACCCAAATCAGATAACCCAGTGGCAATTCAGTGAGTCTTTATCTCCAGTGAATCATTTATCAACAAGATCGGAACCCTTGGCTAATGCAACGACTTTTTTTGTTTTTTTGTTTTCCTCTTTTCTGTTGCTCAGGCGCGACACCTTTACTATCCCCAAAGATGGCTGGGTCAAAATTCGTTTTTCAACTGATAACCCGGGCATGTGGCTCCTTTCTGATCAAATCCAATGGCATTTAGCTGCTGGAGGTGCAATGCAAATTTCGTCTCGCAAGGCCGAGTGGGCTAAAGTACCAGATGAAGTTCAAAGGTTTTGCTCAACTCCTGAAAAATTGATATGATAGAATGGAATGTTTTGTAAAAAAAATTGTTCAAAGATTCAAAATTAGTTCATTCTCTCAAAAGAAAAAAAAAATGAATACCATAGTTTAAAACACCACATTCATTCCCCGAGATGTGTTTTGGGCTCGTTGAGAATTGTATTTAGGAATTAAGAGTTTACTATTAAACCACGCTCCCCCCGAAGATTCCCCCCGTTGGTTTCACCATTCTCCCGATTATGACACTTCACATCATTTTTATACCCCTTATCAGGCTTACGCCTGGACCGGTGGCTTAATGGCGATAGAGCCGAGCAAAAGCCAACCGGTGGTTCATCAATCCACCAACAAGAGCATCCCCTTTTATACCCTACATACACCTCTTCTTTCCCCCCCTCCCCGCTTCCCATTTCCGGCCCCCCCTCTTATTTTGCTTCTTCCGGCCTACAACGTCCGCCTCTAAACTTTCTCTTGACTTTTACGGTCAAACCTTCACCCCCTGATAATTCACCGTTCCCCAGAATGCCACCCTAGATGATTCACCTGAATCTCATTCCAACTGCTTAAAATGCTCCCTCCCATCTCCACCCATCCCATTTTTACACCTCATACATTACACAATGCATTCCTTACACCACCCCTCTCCCGTACTTACCACTTATACGTTAAGTTGTTAACTGCATCTTTGCCCGTTTCTCGCCTTAGACTTATTCACTGACCTGGATGAAATGTAACGGTATTGGAAATCAGTTCAGTGAGCAAGATGAAAGGCTCGTGTGCGCCTTGACTCTGAGGGTGGTCTAATAGCTTCAGATGAAAAACAGACTATTGCAGCGTTGTTGACCAGGATATCGAGCCTCTCTTCTGACTTGATGAACTCTTGAGCTGCCGAATGAGCAGAGTTGAGTGAGGTGATGTCCAATTTCAAAAACCGAAGGTCTGAGCCTGGCACAATTGCCCTGATCTTGTTGATTGCCTCCTCGGCGAGCCCAGGGTTTCTACAAGCTAAGCTGTTGACCCAAACTCTGTCCGTCAGACTTCCTTTGGGCCTGGCTAGCTCTCGGATGTTTTGGATTAACAATCTTACTAAGTTTTTGCGCCATGGCGAGCAAGTTCCAGAGCAGTAAAGTAGCCTATACCGCTATTTGCACCTGTGATAGATTACAAGAGCCATTCTGTCAATGATTCTATTTAATGCCCCTCTGCCCAGCCTTCCATCAGACCATTCTGTCAATGATTCTATTTAATGCCCCTCTGCCCAGCCTTCCATCAGACCATGAGCTTTGTCGATTCCCAAAAGAGTGGTTCACCTGTGACAATGGCGACCCGGCCTGTGGATAAACAAGAAGAGGATAGGCACTAATTGGTATCAAAACATTCCGGGATTTACTTGAGAAGTACATATGTACTGGTATAGACAGTTTCCATGATACAAATCCTGGCCGGGTAAATTTATTTCAAAATTCTTCTGGCACACCTTAATTCTTCTGGTGAGTCTGATGGAGGTTCGGACTGGTGTTGATTCTTAGGCATCAAGCCGTCCTTAGAGTTCCCGGGAGAAATGGGGTTTCCATTCAGCGTAGGTCGAGAATCTCCTTTCAAAGACTCAGTAGACGCTGGATTCACTCTTCGTACGGGCTGTTTGGGTAGGGTGAGTAATGGGTCCCCGGCACGGCACCCTGGAATTTGTCCCATCGACTTGGTTATTAGAACGCTGAGTTAAGTAATTGTTGTAGTGGAGGAGTTATAACCGGATCCGTCGTTCGGAAATATCAAAGCGTGGAGGACGGAAAAGAACCGCTACTGGGGGCAGGTATTGGGAGCGAGGTCCAGATGAGCGGATATAGTAATTGTTGTGTTGGGATGTTACGATACGATAACGTAATAGATACAAGTCGTTTTGTTAAAGAGAGCTTTTCTTTCGGTGGGCACTAGGACTTGTGACGAAGGCAATAATTCTACTTCGCTCTAATTCTACGGCATGAGGAATGATTATAAAAAATTTGTATAAGCATTAATTTACACTTATGACTATTGTGCCTTGTGCGGAAACAGAGTGTGTGACTTGTGGAGGGGAGTTATGAGTAGATGTAGGGGCGCTTGAGTTAGAAAATAATCGGAAAGGGCTAAAGCAAAACTTTCTTTTGGAGGGCGGCGAAGCCGCCCTGAAACCCTAGTGGACATAAAAGAGACCACTTGACTTGTAATTTGATACATCCACTTTCATTTACCTATAAAAAATCTTAAAACCTTGTTATAGACTAGGATCCCCAAAAACTCCTTGCCTTTCAAACAAGGGTTTTTTTTCTTTAGATATGACTCAAATGTGAAGTAGAAAAAATTATTTGAGGCAAGCTCTCGAGGCAAAAGAGAAGATTATAGGCCAACTAAATAATCACAACATGATTGAGCAAATCATCCAATTGTTAATTAATGTCTGGGACTGGTTTGGGGTTGATTGAATTGAGACTGTTTTTGAATCAGAACTGCTCCACTCTGGTGCCCTCTTTGAATTCAGCTGTTGAACGGTTCTGCTTTGAGATTGATTGTGTCAGACCATCACTCCAACACACTTCAATCACCAACAACACACTCTCACCAACAACACCCAACATGCCACCAAGATCTGCGACCGCCGAGAAGAAGCCTGCCTCAACCGCCTCCAAGGGCCAAGGCCACCAGCTCGGCTGCTCCGGCTGAGAAAGTCAACAAAACCGACTGATGGCGAGAAGAAGAAGCGAAAAAGGCAACGTAACGAGACCTAGTATGTTCACCTCCCTCCACCCTCTCCAACTAGGATAACAGTCACACTAATAATCTCGCGCTCTCTCTCCTCTTTCAGCGGTATCCACATCTGCAGGGTCCTCAAACAGGTCCACCCCGACACTGGTATCTCAAACAAGGCCATGTTGATCTTGAACTCCTTCGTCAACAACATCTTCGAGCGGATCGCCACCGAGGCCTCCAAGTCGGCTCCCTACAACAAGAAAACCACCATCTCGTCCCGAGAGGTATGTGTATTCTGGCTGAAACAACATCCCTCAAGGATATCCCATCTGATCAATCTATCACTTCACCTTCACAGATTCAAACCGCTGTCCGACTCATCCTTCCTGGAGAGCTCTCCAAGCACGCCATCTCGGAAGGAACTAGTCGCGTCTAGGTACGACAGGCTAACTTCGTGAGACCGCCGAGCCCCACTACATCGATGCATCTACCTGTAACCCTACAGTTTCCAATGATAGATACCAACGAGTGCCACCCAATGGAGCCACATGAGAGCACTGGTGAGCTATGTATGAAGAGCCACCAACCGAAGCGTAGCATTCAAATATCCAATTTTGGAGGAGAGGCCCATGCCCCAGGCTGGACTGCCATCGTAATCATTTGCCTCGGAGTGGCACCAACCTCATCCCATCCTCCACTTTTCCACATCAGTTCATTTTCCCACCTGTATTTTCAATTTTTTTTTTTCAAACCTTGGATATGACCCAGCCAATAGTAACCCCCCCCCCCAGCCTTGGGGACGAACATGGCCTTGGATTGGAGAACTTGTCTATAGGAAACTGTTGCTAACGCATTGTTACATAGGTGAGTTGGCTTGATGCAAACTTCCCTCATACAAATTGCTGACAGCTATCCCATCCCAGACAAAATCCCATCTCTAACCAGCGACCACATCAGCCAGCTTGGTGTTTTTCTCTCTGGCCACCTTGCAAAAAGCAAACCTGTGTATCAACGACTTACCTCTGTGTATCAATGACTTACCAGGTTTGCTTTTTGCAAGGTGACTAGAGAGAAAAATACCAAGATGGTTGATGTGGTTGCTGGTTAGAGATGGGATTTTGTCTGGCATGGGATAGCTGTCAGCAATTTATACAAGGGGAGTTTGCATCAAGCCAACTCACTTAACAATGTGTTATCCCTCCAAGGCAAATGATTGCACAAGTGGTTTTGGTCTTACAAATTTCTCTCACATGCACTCAAACTTGTCCTGCTTGTGAACACTTATGAAAAAGTTGACCACATTTGCATTCTCATTCTGCTCAACCCAAGCTTACATAGGGCATACCAAAAATTATCTACAAGTACAAGACGGATTTGACTTGTGACAAAAGTGAAACTGCCCTTGAAAAGGTTTCTGGAAGCTGCATTTAACATCCTTATCCTTTGATTCTTAAACACACTCTAGCAAAACATTATTCATTTGTAAATTTTTCAATTGCAGCACTGATGCTTATCATAAAATTTTATCACGACTGACCCAGGGCAGCCTCAAAAGTCTGCTTGATAGCTTTCAAACATATTTTTCCATGTATCTGAACAACAAACAAAATGATGATAGGCCGCTGGTCAGTTAACTGATTTTACTCTTGTCCAACTCAATCTGTCTGCTTTAGAACCGGACAGAGTATTGGATTGGAAAAAGGTTCAAACAAACACAGGGTGGCCCCACTTGGTCTTCTTCTGCTCCTTCTATAACTGTCCTCCTCCTGAGTTGGTTCCTGGCCCGTTTGTAAACTTATGTTTAAATAAGACAAAACTCCCTTGCAGTCAAAATAAGTCGAATTACAAGCAAATTTGAATCTATGCAGAAAATTGATGCTAACTGACCAGAGGCCATGGGTTTGAGTAGGGCGGAAGAGCTCAAACCTGCAAGGAGTCTATTACCCTCACCATCACTAGCTAACAAGCTCATCTCATTTGAACACATTTTGTTTTCCTCCAAGGAGAAGCTGTTCTGCTTGACTTTGTATGGCAACCAATACCTTGGAACATTTCTGTGCAAACAGCGGTGGGCCGCTACGCTGCACTACACTTTTGACCCAAAAAGCTTAGCGCAGTGGCGCTTTTTTTGCATCAAAAAACTGTAGTGTTAGCTTATTCTTAGCAGATTTTTGCTATGCTACGCTGCGCTACAGCACTTTTAGTGGCAAAAGCAGCCAAAAACCGCTAAAAAGCGCTGTAGTGCAGCATAGTGGGCCCTTTTTTGCAGCCCACACGCGTAGCGTTAGCGGTGTTGTGGCGGAATTCTGCTATGCTACACTTAACGCTAACAGGAATTACGCTGTGTTATGCTACACTAACCACTACAGTTAGTGTAGTGGCCCACCGTTGGTGCAAAGATGCTTCAATATGTATGTACTAGGATGATAAATTGGCCAATGAAGAACAGAATAAATATGGAATGGGAAAGCCACATGATTAATGCAAAATATCCTTGCTGACGGTGTAGATCTGGAGAGCTTTACGTAAGTGGGCAGCCTCTTTTGTTGGTCACTCTAACAGATTATAAATCTAGTTAGGACCCACACTATTTAGTCAACATTCTCCCCCGGGAAACGGATGGATAGAACAACTTGGGCAGCAATTTATATGGGCAAAACCCAGGTTTGTGTGTTGCATTGCCTGATCTCAGACTCCCAAGGAGGGCCGGAGACACACCAATTTTCATCAAAGTCTACCAGGATGGAAGCAAAAGAAGGGTTTGTCTACTGACTGAGCATTCCCTTTTCTGACGGATCCATGAGGACCCCGGAAAGTCTGTCAAACTGACTCATGTAGCATGTATCCAATTTTTTTTTGCAAAATGCTCCTCACAAAATTCATCGGATATGTATCAGATTTGCCTTTTTTGGTAAATGGTCCTCATGAACCTAGAATAGGTTTTGGGTATTCCTGCCAAAAAAAGTGCACTTTTTTAGGTACAACAGGCTAAAGACTGCAAGGGGTAGCAATCTTGGATGTCTCAGACCCTTTTTGGCCTTATAACACCCTTGAAATCAATGCTGGGGCGCTACGCTACCCTATGCTAAACAGTCCACTAACGTTAGCATAGCAGCCCTCAAGACAGTGCACTGTTAGTGCCACTATGCTGTGCTGCACCGCTTTCTAGCGGCAAAAAAGGCCCAAAAGCCGCTAAAATGTGTTGTAGCACAGCATAGTGGGCCCCTTTTTGCCACCCACAAGCATAGCATTGGCACAGTTGTGGAGGATTTCCGCTGTTGTGCACTGAGAATTAGCGGAATTCCGCTACATTATGCTGCGCTAACCATTACGGCTAGCGTAGGCGCCCACTGTTGTTGAAATCATCCTCATGTAGGATGTATCTAAATGCAGATTTGATGAGAAAAAACAGATTTCTCTTGGTATTGAAAAACCAAATTTTCTGGAAATTACATGAGTTGGTTTGACAGGGACTTGCCAGGGTCCTGATCTTTGTGCTTGCACCAGCTACGGATACGCAGAACTTGGGGAGAAACCTACCAGTGTTTCCCAAGAGTTGTTTTGAGGAGGGTGATTTACTGTCACCACAGTTGCGCCTTGATGGTCTCCTCAAATGGCAGAAAAAACTGTGGAGAGAATTGATCATCAAGCTGTTTCTGATCATGCTGGACCCCTCATTGTCATCCTTAAAATTCAGAGGGAATCTACATATAACTAAAAAAATAGGCTTAAAGAGCCAAACAAACTGTCATGCAATCTAACGCCGGCGTCGACCTCCAATTCATATTTGTTGGATTTGTCAAAGCCGGCGTTAGACCAAGGCAGACAGGTGTCCAACTCAAGAAAACCCCATATGTTGTAGGTCATTGAGTAAAACCCAACATCTGGGGCAAAAACATGCAGCCTCCCCAAATTTGGGGGCATATACTAGTAAGGCAATGAAACATTAGGGATGGAGCCAACATATTTGTTGATTGTGTAAGTGCATCAATCCAACATTTGGCATATATTGTTTCAAAGTACTATCTGAACACTTTCTACATATTCCCATTTCATCAGATCACAACCATTCCTGTCTATATATCCAATACCTCTCAATTCTCTTTTCATGAAATTTTGATCCCACCTTATGCATTGCATATGTGCATGAACATTTCCATCACCATTTTTATGCCTCTGTCTTTGCCATACCCTTCAATTTCAGAAATGCCTGTGAGTTGAATATCAATGTATCATTTCTCATATAATTCTCCTTGATAGAGAGAGTTGTTATGACACAAATTACGGAATTCTCAAGTCAAGGGAGAATGGGAAAGTGACAAAGAGCAGCGAGGAAGGAAGATTTTGAGATGGGTCAAAGCTAAATCCCATTTTAGTGATGATCTAGGTATTTTGTTTGATGGACATGGTGGAGAATGTCTATCAATGTTTCTCAGAGGTGGAAATTTTACTGATTAATCTCCAGAAGCAGATATTGTTTGTTGCAAATGATTTCTATATCCACCTTTGCAACCAACCTTGAATTATTGGCTAAAATGATAATGACTTCACTTGTGGCACTGTTTTTTTGATGTTGCATTGGCTTGAATAAACAGTAAGAAATAGGGATTCAAGTGAACATCACACTCACAGGGTACAATGGCTGAATCTGATTCCTAGATTTATATTATTATTATTATAATTTGCATACTTTTCCCACCTAAATATCTCAGCAGTGTTAGTGGGTTGTTCAAGTTAGACATGTATGATCATGGATGAATGGTTTGACCAGCCAAACCAAGTACTGACTCTGATGTGCAATAGGGCAGTTCATGATGAGGAACAAGACAAAGATAATGAACTTGCATGTATGTAGACTACTCTAGACTATATACATGCTATGGAAAAAGGGGTCTAGGTGAGACCTCTGGTAACTCCTCCCCGGTTACAACAGTTCACATTAAGCTGATGTTGACCAACAGTGGGCTGCTAGACTAACCGTAGTGATTAGTGTAGCATAACATAGCAGAATTCCCGCTAACCTTAAGCGTAGCGTAGTGGAATTCTGCCACAACACCGCTAATGCTACACGTGTGGGCCACAAAATAGGGCCCACTACACTGTGCTACAGCACATTTTAGTGATTTTTAGGCCGTTTTTGCCGCTGAAAGTGCTGTAGCACAGCATAGCATAGTGACACTAACAGCGCGCTAACACTGCAGGCTTGGCACACTGTTTTGAGGGCTGCTACGCTAACGTTAGTGGGCTGTTTAGCACAGCGTAGCATAGCATCAGGCTGTCAATGGGCACGGGCGCTAGAGATGGTCGCAGATAATCCGCCGCGGATATCCGCTATCCGCTGGCGGGTATGCCAGCGGGTGCGGATTCGGCTGCGGATGGCTGTTTTTCCGCCCAAACCTGGCGGATATCCGGGTATCCCAAGGGATACCCAGTGCCAAGAGAGGCAACACCGCCGGGAGGAATCCCTCCTGGCGAGCTGGAGCACAATCCAGCTCGCCAGGAGGGGTTTCTCCTGATGAGCTGGTACACAATCCAGCTTGCTGGGAAGGATTCCTCCCGACAAGCTGGCCTCTAACTTTTTTCTTTTCTTTTCTTTTTTTTGAAAAAAAAAAACATCTGTCCACCCTTAAAAGGGGGCGGATATCCGCAGGGATACCCGCCAGCGGATGCGGATGTCTGATTCCGCTGAAATGGTGAGCGGATATCCAGATGCGCCGCGCCCATGGGCTACCCACGCCCCAATGGGTCTTGGGGCAGGTTTGGACAGGAAAGGGTGGAGAATTTCCCAAGTGTGACCTGCCCCATGAAGACCCACCAAATTCATTGGCCGGGCTTGGACAGGCTTTTCTGAAGGTGGGCCGGCCCATTGGCCCACAAAAAGCCCCAGTTTCCCTGAATATTATCAGAATTAACCTAATAATATGTACCCACAGTACATATTATTAGGTCTGAAGGCCCAGAATTGGTACCTAGATTATCAAATTTTCTTTACCCATTGTTTAGGCCTCCATGCAATGCCACCTTGACCTCCCATCTCACTCCCTTGAGTGACCAATTGTTGGAGATTGTTACTCAGGTCAAAAAAACCCATGAGCAAATTTTTGATGGGCAGACCCAAGACCCACCCCAAGCCCACCTGTCTCCAAGCCGGGGTGGGTTTGGGCAGACTTTTTTAAATTCCAGCTTGGCCTAGAGATGGTCGCGGATAATCCGCCACGGATATCCGCTATCCGCTGGCGGATACCCGCCAGCGGGTGCGGATTCGGGTGCGGATGCACCTCTCCCCCTGAAATACTGGCGGGTATCCGGGTATCCCTTGGGCTACCCGGTGCCAAGAGGCCACACCGCCGGGAGGAATCCCTCCCGGCAAGCTGGTTTTTAAACCAGCTCGTCGGGAGGAACCCCTCCCGGAGAGCTGGTATAAGACCCATCTCGCTGAGGAGAACCTCTCCCAGAGATGTGGAAAAAATCACATTGTTGTCAGTAACAAAAAACAATCAGCTCTTTTTCTTTTTTCAAAAAAAGATCACTCCTGAAAAAGCCAGCTGCCTCGCCGCCCATTCAGAGGGCGGATATCCGCGAGTATCATCCGGCTCATGCCGAAGTGTGTGTCCGCATGACATCGAGATCGGATATGCGTCTTCCGCGCTGATATTCAGGATTCAATGCGCGCATCTGCATGGTTGTCTCGGCC